GACACAATTCAGGGAGGCCTCTCAGGCCAGTCAATGCTGTACCTCTCCTTGAGGCCAGCTGTGGGCTACATTCCTTGCTGAATCCCTCCTCCTCCAGGAATGTGCCTGCCACAGTCAAGTCTGGGCCCAGCTCCTGTCTGTGGAGCTCCTGCCTGTGGAGCTCCTGCTGATGCAACCTGTTCTGCTCTTGTCAGAACAGCCAGAAGCAAGGGGGAAGAGATCTGGGAAGAAAGCACCTTCCCGCCAGGAAGGTGGATGCAGTTTCCCTGCCCCCTGAAGGCAGAGGTCTGGGGGTTAAGATTTCCATGGGCTGCCTTTCTGCAGCCAAGAGTAGGGCAGATGTGTCTACTCCTGCTCCCTGCTGCTACTGCCTGGGACAGGACACCAACTCTCATAGAGTCACTCTAACAGCTACACCTTGCCTATTTTCAATCCATTCACTTCCTGAGTCTGATCTTGATACTTTCAGGTTTAAAATCTTCAGCGGATCCTGCTGTCCTCTGAAACAGCTTGTGTTGACAGCTAAAAGTGAAGGTCTTGGGTTTGAACCCTGATACCCAAACTACTTACTCTGCCAAGGGATAGGTTCTCTAAGCTTTCTAGGTCTCATTATCCTCATCTAGAGAATAAAGATAATAATGAGTTCCTGCTTTTTTAAAAAAATATTTTTTAATTGTAGATGGACACAATGCTTTATTTTGTTTATTTATTTTATTGTGGTGCTGAGGATCGAACCCAGGGCCTTACACATACTAGGCAAGTGCTCTACCACTGAGCTACAATCCCAGCCCCGAGTTCCTGCTTATAGTGTTTTTGTCATGGCACAAAAAGTCATGCATAAATGTTTTGGCTCAAAGTCAGATCTTCTCAGCTTCTGCTATTATTTGTCATCAAGATAAAGTACAAGTTTCCTGATGTGACTGTGGTTTACCAGACCCTCCAATCTCTGTGTACCCAGTGTCATTTCAGTCTCTGCCACCCTGTCTATGCAGGTCCACCCTTAACATTTGGGGGGTCAGGGACAAAATTACAAATGAACTTAGACATGCTACATGTCTAAAATTTGGAAGTGATAAATCAAGTTGTAAAGCTGTTATAGCCCTCCTGGGACTTAGGGGTGAGCATGGATTTGGATTCTGTCCTCAGGAGGATGGAACTGTACTTGATACTATTAGAAAAAGGAATATGGAAGTCACTAGGACCTGGTAATGGTCTTATACCAGTGCATGGGCCTGGGGTGGGGAGTTTCTTCTTGGCCTCATATGTGCTTCTTCTCTCTATAGCAAAGGCTGTGATGGAGGAGGGTCAGAGTGCAGCTGGGACAGATGCCTCCCGCCCAGGTCTAATGGTAGTACTGCCCATGCCACATCTATTATACTGAATTATTAGAATAATGACTTTTAAAATCATCTCCTCCCCCTTGCTTCTCAGCACCACAATAAAATAAATAAACAAAATAATAAACATATTTTTTTAATTTTTTGGTACTGGGGAGTGAATCCAGGGGCACTTAACCACTGAGACACATTTCCAGCACTTTTTTGCATTTTATTTAGAGACAGGGTCTTACTGAGTTAATTAGGGCCTCACTAAGTTGCTGAAGCTGTCTTTGAACTTGTGATCCTCCTGCCTCTGCTTCCTGAGCCACTGGGATTATAGGCATGTGCCACTTGCCCAGCTTGAGTTATTTTTAATTCACTAAATACATCACATGCTTTGTCAATGGTGTTTTCTGTGCCTGAAATACTCACATTCATATGGCCAACTTCTACAAGGGGTTGAAGCAAGTAGACTCCTTAAGGCCTGAGGCTTACTTAAGTACCCTGGAGGTCAAGGGATGAGGTGACCAGACCCTCTTGACCAGGGTGGCATCTGTACCCTTGTTCAGGCCCTGTACCTCTCCTTGACACAGTTACTCCCGGCCCTGTGACTGGGCATTCTGCCCAGTGGGCTGGCAATGTTCACTGCACTCAATCTCACTTCTCAGAAGATGACTGGCACTGCAGATAAGAATGGAGAGTCAGACGTTAGCCTGTCCCACCCAATTCTGACAGTAGTATAACAGGTGGCTGTGGCAGAGTTAGAGCTTCATTTCAGTACCAAACGCTGAATCTGGCGCTGTGTCCACTGCTTTTCCCACAGAGAAATGGGGAGAGCAGCCATGATGGCTGGTCCAGGTGCCCACACCCTCTGCAGGTCCCTGTGCTTCTGCTTCACCCATCCAGTGGTGGAACCATAATTTATATTACAAACTCCTTAGATCATGTTCGTTTTTGGCTACTGTTATGGTCTGGATCTGGATTATCACCCAAAGGCTCACAGGTTGAGGGCTTGGACTCTAATGCTGCACCATTCAGAGATAGGGTTTTGGAGAAGTGATTGTATCATGACCACTCTGACCACATCAGCAGATTATTCCAATAACTGAATGGACTCCTGGAAGGTGGTGGAACCTGGTTGAAGGGGGTGGGTCCTTGGGGCATGTCCTTGGGGAATATATCTTTCCTCTGGTCGTTTCTTCTCTTTGCTTCCCAGCCACCATAAGGTGAGCAGTTTTCCTCTGCTATTCTCTTCTACGACGATGGTCTGCCTTGCCTCAGGCCCAAAGCAATGGAGCCAGCCCACCATAGACTGAAACCTCTGAAACTATGAGCCAAAATAAATCTTTAAGTTGATTTTCTCAGGTCTTGCCACAATGATGAAAAGCTAACATAGCTAATGTAAATAATACCATAATAAAAATCTGTTTGCACATTTCCCCTTCCTTTAGGAGATGGCTCTTGGTCCCAAGTATAGTTTCCCTTCCAAAAACCTTGTCCCTGTTGATACTATGACCAGTAGCCTTTGATAGCGCCTTTGAGAGTACTCTTGCTAGTATCCTGTAGTGTAATTTAAACACATTATTTGAAATATGCATCTCCTGTCTGTAAGCTGCTGGGGTTCCAGTGTTTTCTTGTCCACCTCATAATAATAACCCTTTGTCATATTTTCTAAATCTACTTTTCAAAGTTGTGTATTAGTCCTTGGGTTTGTTAGTTTAAATCAGCATGTTATCAAACTGGATTTTTTTTAGCACTCTGTGCTTTAAAAAGATTTCTTTCCCTCCTGAGATTTGATTTCTATTTTATTTTCCTCAAAATTGTCTTTAGTTGTATTTTTCGATTTTACATTTTAGTCCATTGGATTTTGTTGTATGCTATGAGGAGAGGGTCAAAAAACCTTTTGAAAGCTATATTTGGAAAAAGCAAAGAACAAAAAGAGGCATCGGCCTGGGGCGGACTTTGTGATGCTGTTAGACAAAGAGGCAGAGTGCCAGGGACTGTTTAGTTTTCATTTCTTTATCAAGAAGAATGATCTCGGAACTGCAGAGAGAAGATCAAACATGGTGAAGGGGAAAGATATTTCCAGAAGAGGCAAGAAGAGAGCTAGAGGATGCAAGTTTCCGAATCCAAAAGAATCATCTCCAGTGGTAATGAGAGCAGGGGAGCCTAGTTGTGGGGAAAGAGCCCTCCCTGACTGGGAGCCGCAGGTCTGGGGTCAGAATTCTGACTCTCCCTTGCTCTGGGCCTCAGTTTCCAAATTTATTTATTCACTTTGAAACACTTTGCTGGAGGTGCTGGGCTTAAGGAGATAAAACAAGACTGTTCTTGGCCCCCCAGAGGAGCATCTAACGCAGCCCTGGGAAGGGGTCAGGCCTTGAAATAGGATTCACACTGTGGTACTGCCAGAGTGGAATGCATTGCTGGGTGCAAAGTGGTGAGGACAGCTGGGCTGAGTGGCACTCATCTGTAATCCCAGCGACTCGGGAGGCTGACACAAGAGAATCGCGAGTTCAAAACTAGCCTCAGCAAAAGCATGGCGCTAAGCAACTCAGTGAGACCCTGTCTCTAAATAAAATTCAAAATAGGGCTGAGGATGTGCTCAGTGGTCGAGTGCCCCAGAGTTCAATCCCTGGTACTAAAAAAAAAAAAAAAAAAGAGAGAGTGGCAAGGACAAGGGGGCACTGGAAGAAGCTAGCTCTTGGAGTGCTGTGCTATGGATTTTTTAATTTTATCCTGCAGGCCAATGGTTCTTCCCCTTGAGCTTATATCCAAGTCACTGGGAGGGTTTGTTAAAACAGACTGCTGGGCTCATTCCCAGTTTCTTATTCAGAAATTCTAGGGTGGGCTCCTCCCCTAAAAAGTTTCCAGGTGATATTAATGCTGCTGGTACCTAGACAAGGGGCAATCACGAAGAGAGAGAACAAATCAGTCAAATGTACACTTTGCAGGACTAGTGAATAAAGAAGTGGAGAATGTATTGGAGGGAAACCTGATAAGGGTCAGGGAAATAGGAAGCTGCTGAACTAGTCTAAGCAAGTAGGTGTAGAAGAGGCATGGATCTGGAGACTGACTGATTGCAGTCAGGGCAAAGAAGATGGGGGAATCAAGGAGGCTTCCAGGGTTGGGGCCACAGGCTTGTAAGAACAAAGAACTGTCCCCAGAACCTAGCACTATGCCTGGTACATAGTAAATACGCCCTGGATATCTGCCAAGAAAGTGGTTCCTTAATGAGAGGGCAGAGGTTGTATCCGCTGGATTTAGGATCAGAAAGTCACTGCTGGTACAGGGATGGGTTTGGAAACTAGGCTGGAGGGGCTGAGAAACAGAAGGAGGAAAAACAAAACAAAACAAAACAAACCCCAAAACATGGGGATACCAGGTCAGGAGGAGAAAGGAGAGAGGGAGAGAGGTGAACATGAGCTCGAGGGCTTTTATTTTCAAGGTGAGAGAGACTTGAACAAATTTATAGATGTGAGAGGAGGCTCAATAAAGAGGTGAGAAAGAAACAAGTGAAGAAAGATAGCTCCTGATGAGGGGAGAGGAGAGGTGAAGGCTTAGGAGAAAATGGACCCTGGATGGACAGTGGAAGAGGAAAGGAGGGCCAGATGCAAGGATGTGTAGAATGGAGATGGGAAGTCACAGGTTTTGACTAATGGCACCTTTACTTTCCCTCTGCAGCTGGATGTGAGGTTTGCTTGGGGTAGGGCTGGACAGAAGGAAGAGAGGAGGCATGGCTAAGCTGAAGATGATGAAGGCAGAGCTGTGAGAAGACCAACAACCAGACATAAGACACAGGGCAGAAGTGGCCCCAAGGTACCAGCAAGGTACCATCATGGGTTACAACCTCAGCTCTAAGTTATTTCTCTCTCCTGGTGACTAGACTGACTGGATGCAGGGAGGGGGTGGTGGGGGTGAGGAAACTGTCGAGTGGGACATGGGATTTCACATGACTTTGGTGGTAGATTTGGATTTGAAAGAAAGAATCACTGACTAAAGGAGAAGTGTTACAGTGCAGTTGGTGAAAGTGGTCCAAAATGTGGCTCTGCCACTTACTAGGACTCAGTACCTGTCTCCCGGGGTTGTTAGATGGCGGGCTGAGATAACACACACACACACACACACACACACACACACACACACACGTAGCCCAGGGCCTGGCACGTAGAGAGGCACAGTAAACAGTAGCTCTCAGCGTTCTCTCAGGCCATGGCAGATAGGAGCTGAGCCATGAAGGACTCTAAGCAGCAAGGTATGTAGTCAGGTCAGATTTACTTCTTAGGAAGATCCCTGGAGCAGTCAGATTTGAGTTTAAATTTGGCTCTGCTACTTAATTAGATGTGTGACCTTAAGTAAGCAACTCAACCTCTCTGTGCTTCCATCTCTCTCATGGGGATAATTATGCCTATTACTGTAAGGAAAGCTGGGAAATGGAAGAGCTTAATAAATGACAGCTCTGATGTTGATGACAGAATGACAGAGGAAGAGAGGAAAAAAAGCAAAAAAGGGGACAGGAGAAGGAAGTGAGGGAGTAAAAGAAGAGAATGACAATAATAATTATTATGAGACACAGTAACCAGATGGTCACAGATGGCAGTGATGAAAGGTGCAGATGGTGGGTGGTGTTGACACGAGCCCCATTCCTGAGGTGGAGGAGCAATGGCCAGGAGGCAGTATGAGGAGGAAGCATGAAGTCCTCTGGGCCCTCGCAGGGAAGAAATGGCTATAGCCACTGGAGATGGCTGCAAAGGAAATGGTACACCAGGAGGCAGGGAGTGGAGCCTATGGTTTCTGGCTCTGCCTTTGGGGCCACAGTGTAGGCCCTGTCCCAAGTCTCCTCAGGTTAGGTGGTGCCCAGGCTGGGATCCTTCTGGGCAGAGTTCTTTTAGGTCTGAACAAAGGAAAGGCTCAGGTGCAGTTGGGCATCTAATCCCCAGCTTGGACCTGGTCCAGTAAGGCCTCACATTCAGGGATCTGGTGACTTTGTTTGCCCTGTGAATTTCTCAGACTGCTAGCGCATACCTGCTGCCATTCTCCAAGGAGGCTCCTGTCTCCTCCTCCTCTACGTCTGGCCTCTGATCCCTGCTTTCAGGTCACCACCCAGCTTAGGCCCTACAGTGTGGACAGAAAAAGGCTTTGTGTCCCCATGCAACAGAGCTTTTCTAATAGTAACACCACTACCAATAACAAAAAATAGCAAATAACATCAATATGTGCCTTAGGCTGAGAACTTACTACAGTCTCTGTACTAGGTGCTTCTCAATTTCATCTTATTTAATTTTTAAAATAACTGTAAAAGATGGGCAGTACCATTACTGTTGTATAGTTGAGACTAAATCTAAGGGGGCAGGAAATATAAGGTAATCCAGGTAATAAAGGACATAGTCTAAATTTAAACCAAAGTCTATATAACTATACAGCCTAAACCATTTGACCTTCTTAAAACATGTTGTTTCTTTCAGGGACCTAGTCCCCCTGAGCATGAATGTGGGGCCACAGCTGGCCTCTGAGATCTTTCCTTTCCTCCCTCCCAACCCAGGGAGTAAACTACGGCTAGAAGGTCCAGCTTAGTCCAGTATGTTCAGGTGCCAATCCCCAGCCCTTTTCCTCTCCCTTCTCCCTGCAGGGCTAGAACCACATGCACACTGACCTGGCCCAGTGCTGGATGGGCCCTTCATCTGGACAGCAGATGGGGTGTCTCCAGCCTTTGTCCAGCACTAGGAGCCTCCTCCTAATGCACAGGCCACAGCAACTGAGACATTCAGCAGCACTCTGACACACGGCCGGGCTGTGCCCTGAATGGAGTGCTGTCTCTGTGGGCCTCTGCACATGCTGTTCCTCTTGCTTGTAACACCTTTCACCTAATTGTTCCTAACTTTTCCTTTAGGGTCCAGCTCAGTAGTACCTCCTCAAGGAGGCTTTCTGTCTCTCCCTGCCTGCCCCAAGGGTTGCTTTAGGAATGTCCCCCTCACGGTACCTACCACATTGCACGGTGACTCTAGTTTTAAAACTGTCTCTTCCTCTAGATTGTAAGCAACTCTGAGTTGAAAACAGTGTTGAATTTATTCTGTCTGGATCCCCCGGGGCTAGTGCAATGCCAACACACCTCACTAATGCCTGGCAAATGCATGAGTGCAAGGGGGATGGCTGCAGATATCTTAAGTGTTCCTCAAAAAGCTGCCCCTTCCCATTAGGGTTCATATAGGGCAGCACCTCCACATCCCCCGCCTTTTAGCCTCAGCTTCCCTACTCAACCATCAACTGGTACTATCCTGAGTACACAAGGCTTACTAGGAACTTCTATACCTGCTTGCTGGCTTGGCCAAGGTTCCTAGGACTGGGGAGATCTTTTGGTAACTTGTTGGAGTTATTTGTGCTACTGCCCAGTGAATCAGGGAACCAAATGGCTACATATGGTGAAGAGGAAAGCTCCCATGTGATAAGAAAGTTTGGCCAATCTTGTGCAAAGGTAGCCTGGTATGGCCTTCCTTTCCCATATCTTCTCCCTTCCCATTCCACATCAGGACTCCTGGGTACTTGAAAGGTACCCGCTGTTAAGTTACTGCTTATATAGCAAGCAGTGGGCAACAGCTGTAACTGAGGTCTAATACCTGTTCCAGCCCTGCCCAGCCAGGCTCTGGCTCCCACTATTGTGGAGCTGCCTCTTGCCATAACTCTGCAGGTAAGGCTCTTGACAGTTGTAGAATTCACCAGTAGCTAGAAGCTGCATGGCCAGGACCCATTGCTGCAATAGCAGAACAAGACTATGGCTGGGCCCTATGGCAAGGCACCAGGCATGAGTGGCCTGGAGAAGCAGCCTGGCTCACATTACCTGGGTCTCAGAGGCCAGAGACATGGGAGTAGAGCATGGAGAGGTCATGGAAGACCCTTGGGCTGGAAAAGGGCACTACAGAGGCCTCTGGGTAATACTGGGCCCAGGCAGGCCAACTCCAGGTGCTGGGAGAGGTGAGACCATGGGCATTCCTCTGGCGGCTCACTCTAGGCCCAAACCACCTGTGACTCTGGTACTGCAGAGGACTCCTTAATGTCACCTCTGTCTCCTTCCCACTCATGCCCACCCACTCTGGGAAGGAGTTCTCACCCACACGAGGCTGGCCCAGGATTCCTGATGCATGGCCAGGACAGGCTGAGCAGGGGCCTCAGCACTCTACTGCTCACCCCACTTCTCTAGGACCTTGACCTCCTGCTGCCAAGGCCAAGTCAGGTGGAAAGCTCCTCAGTTTTCAGGGAGCAGTGAGGCCCCGCTACCTGCTTCCTCCGACTCTAGCTGGCTTCCTTGTTTCCTTCTTTCCTTTTTCCCTTGGATGAACTATAAGATCCTTGACTTGACTGGCCATGATGCTCTTGGAAGGAACAAGTAGCAACACCTACCTGGCTGGCCCTGACTTGTTTGGACTGCCAGGCTTTTCCCAGTATGCCCATCAGGAAGCAGGACTGGTGTTCAAGCCAATTCTAGATTGAGCCCATATAATTTATGGTGCCTGGGCACTGAGGGATAAAAACCAGTGGGGTCGGGGCTCTGTCCTTTGGGAGCTCCAGCCTTGAGGGAGGCCTGGGGCTATGACATGTGTTTGTGGGGAGAAAATGGACATGGTAGGAGGGGAAAGGGAGATGGGCAAGAGGCCTGAGAAAGCAGCCCCTAGAACTCCTAGGGTTCACCAAGGCAGACCCAGTTTTCACCCATATTTCCCTTGAAAGTGTCTACCAATTAGCTCTAGGGACACTAATGTGGGCTCTAGGATTCTGATAACAGAGGGGTTACTCCCTCAGCCGCCATTCTCTGCCTGGTCTGTGCAGATATGGGCTGCTTGAAGCCAGGCTGGCTGAAGGCTAATGGTCACTGTTGCCTGGCTCTTTCCTTCCCTTTGGGAAGTTGGATTGGACATAGTAGAGCCCAGCAGCCTTATTCAGCCTGGTTTTGAGATGGGCTCCCTTCCCCACTGGCCCACCTACCTGAATTTCTGGACCTGACTTCTGTCTTCTCTCTTGCTTGCTACCTACTTGACACTGCCTGCATTTGGCCTTGCTTGGGAAAGGGCTGTGGAGTTAAACCAAATTGCACTGAGACCCCCACAGGCAGGTTTAGCTGTTCCCACCCCCAACTCTCCTCTAAACCTCCAGAAAGAACAACTAGCGTCTTAGTGTAGGCAGAGGGCCATTTGTCATCAATCTCTGGTAAGAGGTTTAAGTATCAGAAGATGAATGGCCTGTGGTCTGTAGCACCCCTCCCCTCGGGTTGCTGGTGACAGCTGGAGGGGAGGAGAGTGGGGATGGACCCAGAACAAATTGGCAGGTGTTCCTGTAGGCCCAAAGCTGGGAAACAGAGGTCTCAGGAGAGAACTCAGTGGGTGGTCTACTCTGACCCTACTCTGCCACATGAGCTCTTTAAAGAAATGGGTGCAGACCTTGCCTGCCCAGAATAGTGAGTACAGAATCTGTTCATACCCAAAGACTAGAACCAGACTCAATGGCAGGATAGGGACCCAGCTATAGGTCAGGGGAAGCAGACCTGGACTAATGGTTCTGGGAGATGGAACCCTCAAATTGAGAGGCCTGCTGTTCCTGAAGAATGGTACCAGGGCCCACATCAAGCCTTCCTCCCTTCCTTGAGAAAGAGGGCAAGACCCAGAAGACCAGAGTCAGAGAGAACTCATGAGAAAAGTGGAGATCAGGGAGGAAGCTGCAGGGCCAGGGCAGGAGAATGTAAAGATGGGATTAATACAGGGCCTGTGGCCTTAGAGATGACAGCTTTCCTTCGTTGGGGACCTAAGGCCAAGGGAAGGCCCCTGGAGGCTGTTGGGGTCTGGCCAGAGAAGGCTGGGAAATGGTTTGCCCTAGGAATCTGGAGGCAAGGAGCAAGCAACAGGCATTTCAGTGCCAGGAGCCTGGTCTGGGACCCTGTCACCTCCTGGCCTCTGCCTTTTGGTTGCATTTATTATCTTTCAGCCTTGGGTCATTGATGCTTATTTTGAAGACTCCTGCTTATGTTTCATGGGGTTCAGGGGAGGGACTGACTTGGAAACTGGGGGATCCAGGGCCAGGCCTAGGGTAAGGGGGAAGGAACTGGTGCTGGGGAGCTCACCACTCTCTCCTTGTAGACGATGTACTTCAACCACTTGAAGTCCTGCCACTTGAAGCCAGCGAGGACAAAGAGAGAGTCACGCTCATACTGTTCAGGTCGCTGCATGGCGCCCTCAGGGTAGGTGATGCGCAATGTTGTTTTGCTGCCCACGTCCTTTTCGAAGCCCTTCACTGGTGCTGAGTTCAGTCTACAGAGAATAGGCTCAATCAGAGCCTGCCTTGGGCCTATGTTTGGGGAAGCGCTGTGACCCCCTTATAACCCAGGTGCAGAGAATAGGGAGTTCACATCTGGTGTCACCTAGTTGTCTATTTCAAAACCCTCCAACCAAGCATTCTTGAGGCTTCTGTTGACCTCAAGCCCAAGTGATCAGATGGACAGAGAGTTCTCAGTGGGCTCAGGGACTGGGGTTTGGGCCAGGTCACTCAGGTGCCCATGACACTGGTGTGGGGAGCTTACCTGACTACGATGTCATAGTCATCAATTCGTGATCCCAGAGACTTGTTGGCAAGGACACCTCCATTGCCCACAATGATGCAGCGACGGCAGCGGAGGCTGAGGAGAAAGAGGTGGAGGCCTGTGGAGAGCTGTCTCCCAGACCTCTTTCCTTCTGTCTCTTTGGCCCTTGACCTATACCATCTGCCAGAACCACATTGGGATAGAGGAAGACAAAAGGGGTCTTGGCAGTATTTCTTTCTTTTTTAAAAAAATTATTTTATTATTTTAGTTATAGATGAACACAGTACCTTTATTTTATTTATTTACTTTTATGTGGTGCTGAGAATTGAACCCATTGCCTCACATGTGCTAGGTAAGTGCTCTACTGAGCTACAGCCCCAGCCTCCTGGCAGTATTTCTAAGAGTCCAAAATCATACTGTGGGAAGCTGGCCTCTGGGACTCTCCAATATCCTGAGGGAAACAGGTATAGGGGGCTTGGGGACTTGACTCAGAGATGAAGAGTGCGTGGTAAGATAGCATTCTGGGTAAAGGTTTCCAAGGGCTGGAGGGTGTTTTAGGCATCTAGAGGGTCCAGGATAAAGAAAAACAAGGACAGGGAACTAGAAAACAAGGACAGGAGTCTAGGACTCGGGGCCCCAGGACTCAGGGCTTGGCTTATTTTTAACTCAGAAGCACTCAGGCTCCCAGTAGCCACCAGAGAGTCTACTCATTCTGTTTCTGCCACCTCTGATCCTGGAGCTTCCCTGCTCCAGGATCTGTTAGCTTCATAGCCATCACTGCCTCCTGGACATGAGCCTTGCCCCTACCACCCCTCAATCTCATGGACCAGGCTGATTATGACCCCAGTATGTTCAGGTCTAAACCTCAAACCTGATGCTTGCGGATTCAGAGTCTTGTCTGAGAGGCTGACGGTTCCCAGGGATTCAAGTCCAGTGCAGTGCATCCACTTACCTGCTCCACCCACACCAGTGTGTGTACTACTGTAGGTCACATGTGCAGATATGCTGGAGAATCTGGCCATGTCCAGGAAGGCCAGCTGGACTTCAACACCTGGCATTTTCCAGGCATTTGGGGCCAGCAGACTGGACAGCAAGGGGCTCACCTGTCCAAGGCAGGAGTCAGGCGATACTCTTTGGTGACTGACAAGATGGCTTTGATCAGATTGTCTGTGGACAAAGGTAGGAGTTATTAGAGGGTCATTTACGTTCCCATAAAATGCTTGCTAATGACCCTATTGGAAAGCACAAGTTCCTGGGGTCACAGTGAAGGCAGGGGTGGGGAGAGGAAGCTATGTTGGGCCAGGTCACTACAACTTTCTCCCTGAAAAAGGAGACAGAGGCAGGGAGACAGGCAGAAATATCTCCACCAGGAGCCAGTCCTCTAACCCTAGCATGCAAGTTCTTCCCAGGACTTCTTCACCCTCCTTGGAGACTCACTGGACTTTGAGACTCTGTAGTCAGGCCCAGGACGTGTGTTCCTAGGCCAGGGCCTCGCCTGGAAGCTGAAGCATCTCAGTCTCCTCCAGAAATGGAAGTCCCTACCCAGAGTCAGAGACCATGATGTGCTTACCTCTGTGCCCCACCAAGTAGACTCCAGGAACAAATGAGAAAAGCAATGATGAGGAGCACAACCAGGAAGACACTTGCTTGTTTCTGGTACTGCCTTTTCCTCGCTTCCTCCCTCTCACACTGCCAATCTCCAACCCTGCTCTTTGTCAGGTGGCCTTTCTTTAACCTCTTTACTCTCTGCAGCCTGGCACCTGCCCACCCGCACTCTGCTCAGGCTGCTCTCCACAAGGACACCCGGGATCTCTGTGCTCTTAGATCCTGTGACAACTACTCAGATCTCATCTTCTTGGCCTCTTTGTTTCTGACAATGGTTTCTGCTCTCCTTCTGAACTCTGCTACATAAAAAAGTCAGATCACAGAGCTCTTAACTCTTTAAGCTTTCGTTTCCTCATCTCTAAAATGAAGATGGTAATTCCTACCATATAGAGTTGTCAGAAAGATAGAAACTAATGTACATAAAAATCTAAAGATAAATTGGGTGTTGGCCACAAAGGAAATCGCCTTAAAAATACCAAATAAGGATATAGGTATGCATAGACTAGGTTCTTGCAACTCTACTCTAAGTGGCACAAAACTGAAAAACATATTTATACAAGCATGTTTACTGCAAAACTGTAATAGCAAAACATTGGTAGCAACCTAAATGTCCAAAGGAAAATATCACATGTGGTACACGAAACATTACAGAGTAGTCAAAATAAATAAATAAAATAAAATAAACAAATCAATGACCTAGAGCAATAGGTATCCATGGAAATAAAGCTAAAAAAATTAGCAAAGAGGGGCTGGGGTTGTGGCTCAGCAGTAGAGCACTCGCCTAGCACGTGCAAGGCCCTGGGTTCAATCCTTAGCACCACATAAAAATAAATAAGTAAAATAAAGGTATTAAAAAATTAGCAAAGAAACTGGTTTGAAGAATATACACACACACAAATGTATATATAATGATATGCATATGTAAAGCTTAAAACATGCAATATCTATCTATCTATCTATACACACGTATATTTTTTCTTTTGGTATTGGGGATTGAACCCAGGGTATGTTACCCACTGAGCTACATCTCCAGTTCTTTATTTTGAGGTAGCATCTTGCTAAATTGCTATGGGTGCCCTTGAACTTCTGATTTTATAGGTGTGTGCAACCACACCTGACCAAAATCAACATATTTTAAACGGTCTTCTAAATATGTTGCATCTGAGTGTGATGGCACACCACTAACTGGCCAAGCAAGGTTAAGATGTGGATGGGCCTGGTTTTCTAGGAGGGATTCTTAAAAACAAACAAACAAACAAAAACCCATATATATGTATGTTGTAGTTGGACACAATACCTTTATTATTTTATTTATTCATTTATATGTGGTGCTGAGGATCGAACCTAGGGCTTCACACATGCTAGGGGAGTGCTCTACCACTGAGCCTCAACCTCAGCCCCTCTAGGAGGGATTCTTTATAGAAAGGGCACTCATAAGCACAGCTGCTCTCTTGCTGCTGGCTAGTGGTTCTGTATTGGTCTTCCCTGGTCTTTATAGCTGTATGATCAGTCTAGAAGTGTGGATTTAGGAGAAAAGAGCAGGCTGCTTGGCTATGTGCATCCAGAAGGAAGGAGTTCCTCGCATGGCTCCATGCCCTTGGAAGCTTAAAATCAAAGTGTCAGTTTGTCAGCATTCTTGCTGGTCACTGTCTTCTTTTTGGGTGGGATGGCTGAATAGAGGACTTAGACATTCTTGAGTTTCCTGGCCAAATGATACCACCCCTATAACAGCTGTTTTAATTCTGACCACAATCTATACAATAGTACGATACTTTCCATTTAGCTGATGAAGAAACTAAAGCATAGACTGGCTAAGTAGTGGTCCAAGGTCACAGCTTGTAAAGAGGTAGTATGGAGATCTGATGTGTCTGACTTTAAGCCCAGCTCTTTCCCACCAGACCACAAAACAGCACAGGAACTCAACTCAGAAGCAGAAGTGTTAAACCATTAAGGGTGGGAAGTCTTATTAGGAGGGAAAAGGTGTGGGGAGGTCCCTAAGTTGATGGAGGGGGGTAGTTTCTGAGAGCATGGGGGGAAAGGTTAGCCACAGACAGAACAAGAATAGTTGGAAGGGAATCTAGGTCAGGGTGGAGGACATGAGGCATGGATGTTTCTGGGGGGTGGCCTCTGGTTTGCCCATCACATCTAGTATTCTATATAATGTCTGGCATCTCTCTTCTGTGATCTCACCGTATCTTGTGTTTCCCCCTGGCAGAGCCCTTCTGTCCTGCATTCTGAGTACCTGTATTTCCATTAAACTAGAATTATTTGAGGAGAGGAATGGTATCCATCTATGTCACTGTTATAGACCCAGCCCCTGGTAAAGCGGCAGGTTCTGTAAATATTCCATTAAAGAAGTATGAGAAAAGGAAGGAGGAAACAAGGTGCCGCTGAGAGCGGGATTTCTGAGGCTATAGTGCTGTCCTGAAGTATAGGCAGACAGTTAGGGAATGAGATGTTAGTGTAGGTCAGGGTTCCCAACATACCTTGACCTTTAATCCCAAAAGGCGGCACAAACTCCCGAATCCTAGCCCACTTGCGAAAGGAGTCATCCAGGAACATGGGTGCTGGCTTGGAGAACCTGGAATACAACAGGGCTTTGAGGATCACAAAAATGCAATAGGCTGGAGCACTGGTTGGCTCTTCCGTGCATCAGTCTTGGAGATGGGCCTGTGGGAAGCCACTGTCCACATTCCAGCATACCTGCCCCACCCCAGCCTATTCACTAGGTAGCTGCTGATCTTGTTGAGTGGAGCCTGAGTCTGAGGGAGCAGGCCTGATCAGTCTTTATTTGGCCAGCTGTAGGAGTGGAGGGACCAGATTTGCTGAGTGAGCTTAATGTCTCAGAGCTGGAAGCTCCCTGGAAGGTTATCCACGCATCCATCTACAGTCACTGCTGCCCACTCTGTTCCTGCAGTCTGGGAACATGGGGATAAGAGGCTGTCCAGTCAGCAGAAAAATATCCAAAAGTACAGCCAGCGCAAGGAGACAAGAATTTTAGAGAAGATTCTGGGAGGTAGACCACCCAGGGTGAAGAAGAAAGCAAAGCAGGGTAA